TAGTAATATATTTACTGAGAAAAATGGTGACGTGTTCAATACTTATTTTACCCACTGTAAGTCTTAAGAGAGCAACATGACAACATGTGACTCATGTTGTTCATGGGTTGACTGGGATATTTTAGTGCTGTAGAATTAGCTTTTGCTAAAACTTTCAGTGTTAGTGCTTTAGAATTAGGGGACTAAATATTTGAGTTAGTGTTTTAGGGCTAGTGGAACTATTTTTTAGATTAGTGCTGCCCATCACTGGTGAAAGTAATATTAATGGGACAATATCATGTAAAATCAACTTTTTTGAGTTTTATATCATGTTATAATGTTACACTCTCATAAAAAACATGTCCAAAGCCTTGCTTTGACTCATTCATGCATGTTTGAGAAATCCTGCAGCATTTTTAGGAAGCCATGCTGAGGAGCAAAACGACAGGTGGGGACCAGAAATGCCTTTTGGTACCAGGAACGCCCCTGAGACGTGTCTTTAAGCCGAACTTCCTCATCACAGAGCACACCTCTTACAGCCGAAGCCGAAGGTGGCTCTTAAAGAGACAGAGGCCAATTTCAAGGCGTTTAGAAGAGGAAGTGATGAGAAGATAAGTTTATTTTCTATTTAAACATAAAAACAGCATTTCAATAACAGACAAAAGGTGACAGATACTTTATTATGGTATAGTATTTGAATATATGCCTGAGAAACACATAATATTGCCYCTTTAAATAAATATACTAATGACTTGCCACAGTTTCAAAGCATTGGTTAGAACTGCCTGCCGTGTCTGCACAGGGTTGCCAGAAAAGAAAACAAGCTTCGAACAACAAAGCTTTGAGTTTTTTTTAAACGATTTACTGGATATGATACAGACTCTAAACTATTATATGAATACAAACATTACTGTACATCTGACAACAATGTCCCACACCTGCCGTCCCTCTCTGCTGCAGCCTCACTGTGGGGCTCTTTCTCCACAGCTGGTTTGAATTAAACAAGAAAGTGTCTGCATGTTGTTCAGTCATGTTTTTGTGATGCTGGGGGACTGGTATCATTCTGTGCTTCTTTTCTGTTAAGGTTGTTAGCAAAATGCAGGTAAATAAAATGTGCACCTGCTGTGTGTGGGAGCGGCGATTACCTGCGACTGGCACATCTGTTATCTGTACCTATTTAAAACCGAACCATCATAATAGAGTTTTCACCACTGATGATAACTCACAGAATTATCTTCCAGAAACTAATAATGGGTATAAAAAGAAGACTAAATCAGTCAAAGAACTTTTTTTAGTGTTGGCAGCTTTGCAAAAAAAAAAAAAAAAAACATTCAGTAAAATAAAAACCTGACTGAAAGTCKTTCAAGATCCTATTTATAGCCTTGAAATAAACCGCCACCATGAAAGAAATCTCCATGGATTTAATGTGGTCAGGTGTTAATCCCCACMCAGCACATTAAAGACAAACACACAACTCCCTGGCTGCATGATATCCCCGTCTCCTGTGACTGCTGGATAATCTCTCGTCTGCGCTGTTTCAGTGGGAGGCAGATGACGACCAAGAAGCTTGTGAAAAACACAACTGCGTTAATCCTGCTACCCCCCACTGATTAAAATAAATAAATAAAAAATAAAAATCCTGCTACCCACCCCCCTTCCCCTCCCCCGTGTTTGCGTCCACGTGTCAGACAGTCACAGGGCGGATGTCACTCTGCAAAGCCAAACGGTGTCAGTCAGTTTGGTGTGAAAGTGTGAAAACGTGCCGTGGGTGTGTTTCTGACTCGTAACACCGGCAGTGATTCTTGCAGCGTCAGCACTTCTTGCCGCTGCCTCCCTCCTCCACGCACACACTCAGCGCAGCTGTGTCGTCATCTTCTGATTGATGTCTGACACAACAGAGAGGCTGCCGAACACGCCGTGTTTGTGTGTTCACGAGTCAGCAGAGGAGACGCGTGAGAACTGGTACATCTGCTCTGAGGCTGTTTACTATTATCCTCTTTCACCCGTCCCACAGGACGCCTGTCGGCAGGGCTAGTTGCCATGGTGATACAGTAAGCCRACACAGAACGAGACGAGGAACTTTGCAGAGTTCGGTCGAGACAAACTCTTCATGCGACGGTCGGGTCGAGGAGGAAGATTTGAGAGCAGTTGCCAYGCAACACGTTGCAGTGGAAAAGACTTTCAGACAGAACCGTTCAGTGATGAAGGTTAAAACGTGAGGAAGAGGAGGAAGGACAGAGGAAGAGCAGGAGAGAAAAACTAGAGAAAAAGGAGAGCGAGYCAAGGGAGAGGAGAAAAACGAGGAGGAGGCGATCCGTCTGTATGTAGGAGCCTTGTGACGATAGTCAACGCACTTCCTGCCAAAAACAGAAGCGTAAACGGAGCAGCGGCGTCCATCATCCGTCTGCCACAGCAGGGCGGGATTATTTCTGTCACAACTGACAGCTGAATTATGACTGTCGACTGCCTTTTACCACCTCCACACAAAGCCTCAAAAAACCTTTGTTGTGTGTTTTCCATCATCAACCTCACTATAAATAAAAGCTGTTTTTATTAATTCTGTCTTCATATGAATGAATGAAGTTGTTCTAATCCAATCCAATCCAGATTCCTGACAGACACGATGCAGATTAAAACAAAAAGAGTTAAATAAAATAACCAAAAGCTGTTTGAAGACAAAGCAGCACAAAAATCTGTGATGTTGCAGTGAAGTTAGAACATTTTCAGGAGTATCAGGAAGTCAGTGACAGGATCACATTGTGAAACAGTTCAACTWTATTTTAACGTGTTCTGTGGAAACTTCCTTTGAAAGACTTTTTTACGTTTTACAACCAAAACGACTGAAAGTGAAGTCGACTCAGCTGAAACCAAAAAGAATCACAGTCATCTTAAAATGACTCCAATCTCAACTTTTTTTTGCTTGTTTGTTTATTTGCAAGCTAGATTTGGGCAACAWTGGCAAAAAAATTAATCAATATTAATTGTGGTATTAAGCCGACAGCGATTAATTAGACAATTAATCCCCTGGAGTCCCTGGACAGCCTTATGTCCTTGGTCACATGATCGATTTAGTGGGAACGATTTGCTCATAAAAATCTGTTTCAAATTGTGTCAAAATTACAGACTTCAGGCTTTAACTCATATTTTAAATTGCGTTGATAAATAAATTACACAACTATTTTTTTATGTTCGTCATATTTGAAGCAGAGAGGAGCATCGAGCGGACTGACTGAAGAAATCTCCTGTCAGTCTGCCTGCTGGCATTAATTGTTTTAATCGTCAAGTGCCAAAAAAAAAAAATCGACTAAAGTTTTTCTGATGATTGCACAAGAAACAATTCTGCCCAATCTTATTGCAAGCTCAAACACCAGCAGCATCAAGGGTCAAATCTGGATATTTTCACTGTTAAAATGACATAATGTGAAACTGACAGCAGCAGGAAGGCTTRTATGAATCATGTATTTTTAAAGGTTACTCTTTAAGACTGCAAAATTCACTTTAGATATGGATTTATGCCTGGATTTATTGTCCAAGAAAATGTTACATCTCAGAGAAATTAGAAACTCCATCAAAAAGTTTGATTTACAAAACCAAACGCGGTGAAACCACCTCGCACAATCTGCACGTTTTAAATAATGAAAACCTCCAAGTATGGGGGGGAAAAGGGACGTCCTTACCCTCGTAGCAGTCCCTGATGGTGTCAAAGTAAACGTAGTACTGGTCATTGGTGAAGAAGAGGAGGCTGAGCCAGGAGTCAAAGGCGTAGATGGGAACAATGAAGAGGATTCGAACGATGTGTCGCTGCTCCCTGGGCGAGGTGTAGAAGCGCAGGTGCATGTAGATCTGGGGCACACAGAGGAGAGATTTTAAACCTTCTCCTAATAAAGTCACAAAAACAGGACGACATTTTATGTATTTCACAATGATTAACAAACAAAAAAAGAGACATACATTATAAAATCTTGAGTTTTCTGATTCGATTTCTGTCTTGTTGAGCCAAAAAGGGAACAGGAACATTTTCTCCCTTCAGCTGGACGAATGAAAACTTTAGAGCGTTTCCCACCCTTCACCATTTTGCACTCTTTAATCATCAGCTTTTCTTTGTTTGTGTTTCTGTTAATGCCTGAGCTCAAAAATCAATGCACCGCCTAACGTCATGAAACAGGAACACAACAAAGTAGGGCTGCGCGATATATGCAGTACACGGTAGAAACGGTATGAAGTTGGCCTACGGTAGAAATTTACCCTCTACCATCATATCGTCATTACGTCATCGCACCTGTGTCAACATGGCTGCGAATGCAGAGACAACTGAGCAGCAGGAGTTCAAATATAATGAAAAAATTCTGGAGTTTTAAAAACACGTATAGAGAGAATAATAATCCTCAAAATTTCCTGCTCCAAGTTGCGTCGTGTCACTAGATCATTTCCTCCCTCTCCTCTCCTCTAGCTGCAGGTCACACAGAGAGAAGCTTTAAATGGATCCACGAATAGTTGTAACATTAAACTTTATTTGATAAACATATATTTTAACTGTAAAATAAAGGCTGTAAAAATACTGTAGGATGTTTAATTT